TATCAATCATGGCTCTTGAATGGATTGTTCTTGATAGAAAATCAAGTACTTTTAATTAATTTAATGAGTCAATTAAGATGCAATCCTTAAAGTTTTCTCATTAATAGTTTCATAAGAAAAGTCAGATAAGGGTGACAATCAGATAATAGCTCTTCAGATAATTAATGTTATTTTCAGTTACAGCTAAAAGCCAGAGTGACTGTTAAGACAGTGAATGTAAATCTACTTGTGAAAGGAGAAGAAAAAGAAGGGAAAAAGTCTCAGTGAGCAAATCAGAATAACAAAAATCCGACTGCTGTAAAATTACTGAAAATCCCAGAGGGTCTCATTATCATTTGACATAAATTCTTGCAGGTTTATTTATTAACAAAGAACCACTGACATGAGCGTGTATCTCCATCTGCAAATGAAATTAGGATTTTGAGGAAGGAGGAAAAGAAAGGGTTTTCAGGCTCTAATGCTGTTTTTTCAATTTGTGTTTTATTGTCTGTGTGTGTGAACACTTAGAAGATAATGAAATTGTATAGGTTATTTGGTGATTGGCTAAAAAGCTTTGGTTTTCCATTGCATCTGTCATCTTGTAGGAGTCGGAGCAAGCAGTGAGGGCAGGGGCTGGGTTGGGAGTGTGGCTGGCTTTACACCACGTGACTGTCGGTATCTTTCAGGTGTCTGGTTTCTTTATCTGAAATGAAGGCTTTGAACCTAGGTGATGTGGGGCATCTTTGAGGCAGCCTAGATTCGCTGGTTATTCAGCTCCCTGTTCCTCTCACAAAGCCCTTGACTCTTCTTCCACCATAGACCTAATGGGAAACCATTAAGGGAAACTGCTATTTTGGGGTTTCAGGCATATGGCTCAACCATGAATGAAAGCAATGGTGCTACAAGGTCATGGGGCTTTGGAAGACTCGGACATTTCTCTGTCAGAGCACCTGAAGGCCAGAATAGTCTAGAAGGGCCTCCAAGGCCTGCCGTGTCTGATAATGTTACCAAGTTTGTCCTCAACATCTCTAACAAATAATAGATCTTTGATTTTTTTTTTGAGGCCACAACATCTATACCTTAAAAAAAAAAAAAGAAAGAAAAGAAAAGAAAAACCTGAAAGACGAAGAGTTTTCTTTATATTAGAGTAAAGGGTGTTTCACATTTTACGTGTTGGCCTGGGTCCAAATTAAATAATCTGGTAAAATCATTAAAGGAATTTAAGACTTTAAATACTATTCCTCATTGTTCCTCTTCTCTGGGAGAACTTTACTATCTAAAAGAGCTAACTTTTACAAGAGTTTATTTGGGTACAAAAAGCATTGTAAACCCTTGCTGCTTAACTGCAAATTTTGTCAAGTGTTCTGCCGTTTTCTGTACATCCTAACTTCTTGTTTTCTTGAATCGTGAAGGAATGTCTGGTGATTAATTAGTTATTCCTTTCCTTTTTTTGGTCTAAGACAACTTCTCAGAGACAAACCCAGGGGCCTATGAAGGGTACTTTTGTCTTTAAACTGTTGTGACTTACCTTTTGTATTTTAAAATCCAGCAAAAACACGGGCAGAGTAAGAGTTAAAATATGGAAAATCATCTTTTCTCTCCCCTCTTTTGTAGAGATGACTTCTTATCCCAGGCCTGTGAATGGCCTGTGGGTGGGAAACAGATGATTCTAGTCGAGTTTACCAATAGACCATTTTAGCCATTCTCTGCACATGAATATGTGTCATTTATGTCTTTTAGGTCGCAGTGGTATAACTAATGCCAAGCCATCGTAATCAGATGGCTGGGGGGTGTGGAATTAGAGCTGCAGTTTATCCCAGGTCCACTCCAGCATTTTTTCTTTTTTCTTCAGCTGTGTGGTGTCGTCATCCTGGCAACGGCAATTTGGCTACGAGTAAGCAAAGATGGTCGAGAGGTAAATAAATAAATACAAGTTTCTCTGCTCCCAAAGTAGTCTATGTCTCTTATAATGATGAAGTAATTAATGACAATAATAATAATATTTCTATAGCCGTTTCCTTAACTGCCTCATGTAATCATGTGCTGCTATGTGATTTTCTAATTTAATTCAATTTAAGTAATCAAAATTACTCACGATGTGCCTGGCACTGTGCTAGGCATCGATTGGCTCTTCTGGAGGATGGAGAAGGTGACATTCTCAAAAACGGGAAGATTGCAGTGAAAATGGAGATGGGAAGGGGCCAAAGCAGAAATCAGTCTCCTTCGCTATTTGCCTAAGTGCAGCCTGCAGTGTGTCTAGATGCTATAGCCCACCTTGCCACCCCACCAAGAGCAATTTTTGTAGTGCAAGGTATTGACAATAATTTGGCTGATTCCCAAGGTGGGGTGGTGCTCCAGAAGGGAGAGAAATGAGATGTTCTCTTAGAGAAGAATCTGAATCCGTGTTTAAAGGACAAGGGACGAAGATAGTTGGTAATTACTTGGGGTAACAAGTACTGAGGGTGACCCCTTGTGACAGTAGGAGGCTGGTGGTGTCATTCAGCAGTGGACCTGCGGTGTCCTGCTTTGTGCTGTCAAGGTCAGATGAGCATGGGCGCCTCTCCCCAGTACACACCGTTCCACGTGCAGCAAAGCTCTCACTCAGATTTCTGCAGGACTGGAGCAAGTTCAGCTTACCTGGTTAGTTCTGGCTTCAGTCTTTGGATTCCACACACGCTGTTTCTGTTCTCAGCGTCACAGATGTGGAAAGAGCGTGTGGTGGGTGAAAGGGTGAGGGTGTGGGAGGGTTGTTCTGTTACTTTCACTCAGCCCAGTGCCTGGCACCATTTCCTGGCTCCCTTCTTCTCAGGGCAGTGCTCCACCCCCCTTCCCCAAGCTCTTATTTTTCCCTCACGCAGGGCAGTTACCTTGTTCTTTGGTGTCTGGGCTCTTGCCACTATTCAGATCACACCTTCTACTGCTAGGGCTTTTTCAGAGTATTTGCCCAAATAAGGTTTCCCTCTCAAAGAGGAATGTCAATTCCTATTTAACAATTATTCAGATATTATTAAACCAGAAATTAAGTTAATGCATTTTCTATTAAAACTTACCCTATGACGGCGCAATTAAATGGCGCTGAACATAGTCTAGTTGAAAGAATGATTAAAAACTAATTGACATCTGTTCTGGTTCCTTTCCTAATGGGTGGCTTTTCTGAACCTTCTCTCTCTCTCTCTCTCTCTCTCTCTTTCCTCCATCCTTCCTTCTTTGCTTCCCTCCTTCCTCCCTCTCTCCTCTCTCTCTTTCTTTTCCTTTCTCTTCTCTTCTTTTCTTTTAAACTTTGCTTTCTACTATGGAAGAATCTAAGAGAATCACATGGTGAATGAGCTGCTTCTTTGTGCTGAGTGGGGGACAGATGTGGCAACTAGCTGGTAACATCCTAGTCCATCAGGATTTCATTTATTGTTTTATACTAATCAATGTAACTGTGACTTCTCGAAGTCCTCCAGCTCTGCAATTGGAGCCTGAGTATTTGAAGATGCACAGAATCGTTTAGAAGCTGATGTCTGACTTTGGGACTTATCATTAAGCACAGAGATTAGCAGCCACTGATTTACAGGGTGTTTTGGCCTTTTTAAGATGTGTGTGCACAGATGTCTGTGTTTTATTTTATTTTCTTTATTTAAAAATTTTATTTCTGGTTGATAGGGGAACACTTTTCTTTTCCCCTAGTGCTTCTGGTAAACAAATTTGGTGTTTGGTCTAAGAAATCACACACATTGAACGTATTAAAGAACTGTTGTCCTTGAGAATGTTACTCCAAATTCGGGGGCAAGAATGAGTTAATAGAGCTCGACAGCATCTTTAGTCACATTGTGACTCTGGTGCTCTGTCAGCCTCTAACCCTGAACAAAAGTCAGCATCTGCCAGGACAACTTTAACCAGCTTGACTTACGTGAAATTGACTTGATTTATATTTAGTCGAAGTCAGTGATAACGAATCAAGACTGTGCAGAGAACTGAATTTTACTAGTAGAAAAACAGGAAGAAGTTTTAGGAGAAACCCGAGCACAAACACAGAAGAGAAGGCTGTCAGGGATGTCTTTGTGCACATCTTTTCACAAAGCTCTTTGTGCAAAAGTGCCTCCTAGGAATGCCTTGTTCTCCCTCAGGATGAACATGGCACCACGTGACACGAAGCACATGGGCAGCCATCCTGGGCCAGGCGATCCTTTAGAATCCAGAGGACCCTGAGCCCCCTTCTTCAGCTTCAGCCATTTTCCTTCCTGCAGAAATTCTCCCCTTGTCCTAAGACACACACAAGACAGTGTTCATCCAAGACAGCTTTTTAAACTCTGCTCTCTCCTGGAATAAACACCTGGATTCAGATTTCCTCTTCTGTTCTGAGTGACAATGGCCATTTGTTGGGCTGGACTTGAAACAGTGATCCTCAGGTGGCCAACACACAGCTTTCTGGCCCCTCTGGCCGTGGGTCACTCTGCCCAGACCAGCCTCATAGAAGTGCTTCATTTTCTGCCTGCATGTGCAGGCTGTATTACCCAGGTCTCAGCGGTAGATATGTGACCTGCTATTTCTATACAGGGGCTGTCTAAGCAAAGTCCTGATAACTCAGCTAGTGAGTTATTAATAGTCTCGGATACTTTCGGGTTTTCCTACACTTGCTACTGTGTCCTAGTGAAGCAGCGTTTAACAGTGAATGGACGGAACGGATTTCCTATTGCTGCTTTTTTTGTCATTATCTGTTTTGACTCAGATGCCCAGCCTATTTATCAACAAACCTGATTTCTTAGCTCCAATCTTATTAAGCAAACAAACAAACACCAAACAAAACCCCTGAAAAAACAGACAAAAAATCTTTAGGACATGAGCAAGCC